AAAGGATGGGAAAACATTGTACCGAAAAGGTGGAGTGCAGCCATGTGCAAGGAAAGGTTCATGCTAACAAACAGGCCCGTTACGGACGGACTGACGGACGGACTGACAGACACCAGACTCCACTAGAGGGGTAAGATAGGATCGATGAAGCTCTCGAAGATCGTTTAAAAGAGTGACTTACTTCCAGTTCTGCCAGCTCCCACATAAGTCTCTTCAGAAGCCCAGATCCCGGAGGCAGCTTTAGCCCCGCTATCCAGCGTTTACACCCGCGACACCTACTAGCAAGTATGACCAACAAACGACAGATTATGAGCCCAAACAGGGCTGCACGCGCCTCCGCGGATCGTCGGTCCGATCGAATTATGTAACGGCGTTACATGGTGTGGAACACACAAAGGTACGAAGTACCCGGAAAGTTAACAAACTCTCTGTACATAAGTTGGAGAGTTAACAAGGTCTCTCAGTACGTTGGCTGAAAGTCACACGTTATACATTTGATTAGGTATAACTATGCTAATAGTTAAACAAATACATTTATTTTTAGGCGGCTTGGCCGCAATAATAGTAAATAAACACTTCTGGTTTTGAAGCATAAAAGCTAAGATATTAACTTTGAGCCCTGGTCTTGGGCTGTAAGTGTCCTTTGGATAAGGAACTTAGTGTTTGTGACTCTTTGAGTCGAACGTCTTCCTCTGACGCTAAAGCTACGGCAGCCCCGCTGCACTTGGTAGAACTTGTAGTCAATCCCGCTCCTGAGTCGGCTGACTATATTCTCTGCGAGGATGGAACACCCCGTGTTCGCGAATTCGCCCCCGGCGCAGCAGGACGCGCTTACTAAGCTTATGTCCTTGCTTGGCCCGGAGGGCGTGGCTCATCTTGCATCGCAACGTCCAGAGGCGGTTACCGCCAGGCTGGAATCGCTCTCACGCTACGAGAACGCGCTTTTGGAGCACGTCCAAGAGAAGATGAGCGCCGCAACGGCGGCGGCGTCGATGACGCGTGAAGCGTCTATGAGACTGAAACCGCTCATGGTGAGCGTATAAACCTTCGAGGGGAAGGATGGAGAGAATCTCCTTCTCTGGACCCGTGAGGTCGAGATTGCCATGGGATCGGCCCTGCTCTAGTCTGAGCATCAGCGCGTGGCGCTGGCTATCTCCAAGCTTGGAGGTCGCGCTCGCGAATGGGCACTGACGTGCGACACGTCTATTGACGCTGCATTTCTCACTTGGGATCAGCTGAAGCAACAGCTTTCGCGCGTGCTCGCGCCGCCTAATCAGGCGTACCGTATCCGGTCGAAGTTCCTTGCTACCCGCCAGGGTAAGAAGGAGTTATTGGACTATGTTTAAAAGTTGAGAGCTCTTATCGCCGGAATGGCGGCGGACCCTCTTCCTAAACTGGTCAGCGTGACCGTGTTCATGGAGAGACTTCGTGTGAGCGCTTCTGGAACGGAAGTGTTCCGTGTACACCCTAGCCCTTTTGAAGAGGCGGTGGATGTGGCATTGAATGCCGAGCACAAGTTCAGGTCGGCTCGACCTGGTTGGAGCGCTGGTAGCGCAAGCTCTTCGAGCGGTCCGGATCCGATGGACCTTAGTTATGCTGAGGACGAAGAAGCCGAGCTTGTTGCTGCGGAGCAGCGCGCCGGTATCCGCCGATGCTTTGGGTGCAATAGCAGTAAGCACTTGAGGGCCTATTGCCCTCTGCGCAAGAAGCGCGAGGCTCCGGCGAGCCAACCCTCGGGGTCATCGCCGGGGAACGGCAACTCCCAGTAGGCCGCCCAGCGCGAAAGAACTGAGTTCTGATGTGCCTCGAGAAGGTAGAGGGCAACGGGACTCAGCCCCGAAGAGAGCTGAGATCTCTTACGAGAAGAGTGTGTGCAAGTCGGGCTTGCTGGTCGTTCAAGCGAACGTGAAGGGTTTTGCAAAGCCATGGAGAGTCTTGATTGACTCGGGAGCCTCGGGCAACCTCGCCGGTCGATCCACCCTGGAAGGGAGTCAGCTGTAGGCTGAGACACTGGAAGTGCCAACGAGAGATACGATCTCTGTCCGTCTCGCGACTGGGACACTGGTAACTGTGTCGAAGGTCTCTGTCGGCCTTGGAGTGAAGTTTGAGAGCTTCGATAGCGTGGAACGCTGTTTGGTCTTAGCCCTGGATGCGAGATATGACCTCATCCTTGGCATGGCATGGCTGGAGCGCCATGAGCCATGGATCGACTGGAAGTCGAAAAAACTGGGTGCGTCGCACCCTGCTCCTAGTGGAGCTTTGATGGGTCATGAACCCACCTCTGCTAGGAAGCAGAAGCGCTTTTGACCCGAGCACGAGGCCGAGACGACCGTAGTGCTGGGCATTGGTATGTCCGAAATTGTTAGCAACGAGGTTGATGTTATCCCTGAGGGCGTACGTGGTGCGGCACGTTATCCGCTGAGCGGTGCAGGTCAAGTCAATGACCAGCTGCTGGGGCCTGGTGAGGACGAACGCGGAGAGGCGCGTAATCCACTGAGTGGTACGAATCTGGCCGCTGACCTACCGCTGCGTCGTCCGAGGGGCGCGGTCGACTGCGAGTCGAGGCATCATGGGCGCGGCCCAGGAGATGCAGGTGAAGTGAGACCTAGTTCACTGTGTGAGGGTCAAGTACCTCTTGACTCTCAGCCAAGTGTCTTGAAAGACACTGTATCCTCTTCGAGGAGTAATGGTGCTGCTGCACCCGGTGGTGGTGATGGAGATGTCGCCACACCGCCCTCATCCGGACGGGCTCGGTCGCGGAGGGAGAGGAGAAGAAGACGCAGGGCGTCTGTGACGTCTTCGACGTCGGACGAGGTGTCCAACGTGACGAGCGGTGCGGCTCCACGTGATTGCTGTGAACAGCTGTACACACTCGTGAACGGAGTGACGGGGGAGGCGCTTAAGCTCCGAAATCCTTAAGAACCCCAAGGATCCGGTATATCCTTTCGTGACGGAGTATGTGGACGTGGTGAACAAACACCCACCGACCCAACTTCCACTAGATCGAGCGTACGGCATGAGATCGATCTCGTGCATGGCACAAAGTACTGTGTCACCAGATGCCTTTTTCGATGCGAAAGCGAAGGCAGGCATGGTGCGGGAGTAAAGTCCCCGCACTCGACGCCACGTTTCTGCGTTCGAAAGCCGAGCGGGAAGTGGCGTCTAGTTCACACTTATAACAAGCTGAACAACGCGACAGTGCCGGTCCAGACACCAATCCCACGATATTCAACCGCCTGGTGACGCCATTGCGGGCCTTCGTACAAACGATTTAAGACGACAGCTTCGTCCATTGCCATGCCGAAGGAGGCAAGACGGCCACGGAGGTGTATCAAGGACACCTCCGTCGAGTGTTGGACGCGATGCGTGCGAACAAGCTCTACGCTAACATCGACAAGTGCGTCTTCGCGTCACCAGAGATCAAGGTTCTCGATTGCTTCGTCAGCAACGTGGCCGTTCGAGCTGACCCAGACAAGGTCCAGGTCATTGCAGCGTGGCCAACGCCCCGATCCCAGAAGGATGGTCGAAAGTGGTTGGGCTTGGTCAACTACCTTCACAAGTACAGCGCAGGGTACGCCATTGTCCTCATTCAGAAGAACGTTGACTGGCGCTGGGAGCAAGAGCACCAGTATGCCTTTGATATCATCAAGTCCAGTCTCCAAGAGGCTCCTGTCCTGGCACTGCCGGACGAGACGAGTTTCAGCGTCGTCTGTGATGCCTCCGACTATGCCATTGGCTGTACATTGCTGCAGGTCGACACGGCTGGACCATCTTGTTCCAATCCCGGCAGCTCAAATCCTCCAAACGGAACTACCCTGTCTACGACAAGGAGCCCTGGAAAAGAAGTACACCCTTGTAAAGTTTTGGGTTCATCTTCTGGGCTCACGGCCCTTTGTGATCTACACAGATAACGCATCCTTGAGGACAGCCACGAATTCGCCTCACCTCTTCCAACGGATGGCGAGGTGGCTGTCCTTCTTCGCGGAGTACAATTTCCGCGTTGAGTATAAGCCGGGCAAGCTCAACGTGCTTGCGGACGCCCTCTCTCGGCGCCCAGACTACAAGTTGGCCTATATCACACGGGTGACAACGGATCTATATGATCGGATACGCGTGGCGTATTGGGACGATGAGGCTGTCGCACCTATCGTCATGTTCCTCGCAGCAGGAACGAACGCAAACTCCGACTGGCTTTCGTCGCGACAGCGTTCCTGGCTCCACCGATATGAGTTGAAGGATGGCCTCCACTATTACCGGGTGGAGCCTAGTAAACCTCCACGGGTGGATCTGAAGTCCGACATCCTCGCGGAGGCGCAAGAAGCGCCCTCCAGCGGCCACTTGTGCCGCGAGAAGACCTTTCTGTCAGTCTCTCAGGTAGACCCACCTGTACAAGCGACTCGCACGGTACGTGAAGACATGCGAAACATGTCTGCGGGCTAGACCCGCAGGGCACGCTTCGGCTCCGTTACAGAGCCTGCCCGCTCCGGCTGACTGTTGGAAGTCGACGAGTCTTGACTTTATCTTTGGGCTTCCCGCTGACGGACATGACCGGATGAGGACTGTAATTCTTGGAAAGTGGTTATGTACTGTACATCGAGGGCTGAGGGTTGCAATTTGAGTGGTACTGTACACGCTTTTCAACTGCCCCAACTCTGGCTACCCGTACAATTGCGCTTTCCCTCGTCTCAAGAAGCAGCTCACAACGACGAACTACGGATATTCTTGGACGAACGCTATATCCGTATTATATTGAACTGGTGGCCAAGCATGGGTACGTTGCCAATTGTGCATGTGCAAGGAGATTAAATTGTCGGGCTTTCCAGTGGCACATGAGCAAGCGGAGGGGGCTGGCACTGCTTGTATAACATTCTACATAAAAATGGATAAGTATTCAAATCCTCCTCGGTGTCTATTAATTCATTCCTTCGACACTTTGAAAACTCGTGTTGATCATTTTGGTTTTACGAGTTTAAAGCTCTGCTTGTTTTAGAAAACTATCGTCAATAGAAAGTAGTTGTGATGACAGGAGCTTCCTTGACAGGGCTAACTTTCTCCAACACCTTTTGCCCCATGTCTGGGTCTTCCAACTTTTGCAGCAACTTAGCGTTCAAACTTCGTTCGCGGCTGTTCATGAGCGTGCGAGGCAAGTGCAGCGGTGACATGGGCTGTCCCTGCCTCTGCTCGACCATTTGCACAATTAGCTTCTCCTGGAAGCTCTTGTTACGCTGCCGTATACCTTGAACCTGTCGTTGTTGGGCTTCAATCGCTGCTCGTCCCTCGGCGTGATACTGACGAGCAAACGTTAGATCATCCTCGACTTCTTGACGCTCCCGTTGTTTCTTTTGGGCTCGTTGCACAAACAGAAATTTCTGTCGCTCAAGTGCCTCCTTGTGACGCGCGTCCTTCTTCTGTTGCTGAAGTAAAATATCTGCCGTATCTTTCTTCTTCTGGTATTCCTCTGCACGCCGCTCGTCCTCTAGTGCCTTCTGTCTCATTTGTGCCTGTAAGTTTTCAGCAATCCCCATCCGCTGGTCGCGTCGTTGCAGGTTTGTCTGCAATCGACGCATGCGCTCTTCGTCCTCTTTCGCCAACCGACGAGCATACGCTTCCATGAGTTCCACATCTTCCTGGTGCTCCAGCAACTTGGCTCGGCTTTTCTGGTTTTGAACGAGCGTATTCTCGTTCTGCAGCTTCTTCATACGTGCGTGTTCAGTCTCGCGACGATGACGAGCATCTGCCTCTAAACGCTTTAGCTCTGCTTGAACACGCTCCACCTCCGTAGCTTCGTCCAGTTTGCGCTGAGCTTCGTGTTGCTCCGCTGCAAGTTTCTGTTGTCGCAGCTGCTCGTCTCGCTCGCGACGGACTTTAATAATGCTATCATGCTGTTGCTGCAGTTTGACGCTCTCTTGTTCTCGCCATTTGCTGATGTCTTGCACTTGGTGTTGGAAAGCTTCTTCCTTCATCTTCTTCTCCGTGTTACGATATTTGGTTTTCTCTTTCTGCTGAGCATCCAACCAAGCCTTTTGCATTCTCTTCTTCTCCATTAATTTTGTCTTCTCCCTCTCTTGATCACTTTCAAACTCGACAAGAGTGAGTGCGTTGAGGAGCACCCACTCATCCTGTCCTTTGAAGTTGGCTGAAGGACTTCTAGACACGGATCCAGCACTAACAGAAGTTCTAGTCCCTTCTGCATGGGCTCCTCCATCACTGTTGTCTTCCATGCTGCCATTATTGCTGTCCAATTGTTTGAGTTTATGACGTTTCATACTCATCTTCTTGACCACTGCTTCCAACGCCACAATATCCGCCTCCATCACCCTCCTTTGTGAGTGCAGAACTAGACGATTGGCCATCGAGGCGATAGAGGAGGCGAATTTCGGGTCTTGCTTAGCATATTTCGCCGTGAGCTTGGCTGTTAGAGCGTCGGCCACAGCTTGTCTCTTATCGCTCTTCACTTCTTCCTGTAACATTTAAAATCGTTAGCGTGCAGCTCAGATTATTTCGATAAAGCTCAAGACGTACACGAATCAACAGAGATACAGCCTTGGCGCGGTTGCTCATTTCCGGTTGCTTCAGCTTCGTGCTGGACACTGCGTCCTTGTCTAGGGCAATCGTACGCTCAAAGAAAATGGGGGAGCTGAAGTGGAGAGGATCATCAAGAGGTGATACGAATATTAATAGCGACAAGAAATTGACTATTTCCGTACGTCGCCCGGCGTTTTTACTATAAACGATATGACCATCATTCTGAAATGTCTTTAATTTTGGTGAACGGAGGAAGTATGACGTATTGGTTCCGCAGTCGCCCTACTGCTTACATGTACATTCGTTGTCGCTTACGCGAACTTGGCTCGCTTAATTTCCGATGGCTCGGATAGCTTGCGCTTAGGCATCGGCACCAGACCGCTCGTCTGCCCCTTGTACTCCTGGTAGGGCTTCAACTTGCCCCAGCGCTGATCCGCGTCCTCTTCAAGAAGCGGAATACCCGATCGGAAAATGATTAGCAGGGTCATGAAGGTGGGGCTAACAGCAGCACCGCATTGTAGAGCAAAGCTTGGCAGCGTGTGCGCGCCCACCAAAAAGACACCGATCCACATCATGATCTCACCGAAGTAGTTCGGGTGGCGACTGTAGCCCCACAGTCCGGTGCGAATAAACTGGTCCTTGTTGCGCTTGTCGAGACGGAACTTGGTCTTTTGGTAGTCCGCCGTGACTTCGATTATGTATTCAACAACCCACAACGTGGTGCCAATAACGTCGAGCGGCTTGACCTCGGGGTCGTCGACGCCGTGCACCACACTGAGCAGCACGGCCAGCAGCGTAAGGAATACCCAAAGACCCTGAATGTTCCAGGCCGAAAGGAAGCACAGCGGGTTCACGATAATCTCGGCGAAACGCTTGTCGTTGCCGTCCTTGCAGATGCGCCAGAACAAGAACGAACCGAGTCGCACACACCAAAGCCACACGAACGCCGTCAGTAGAGCGTCGCGCCACGATGTCGACTCGGAGTATTGGTAGGCGAGCATGGAGACCGTGGCGTAGGTGGTAGAACCCGTGAGATCGAAGAATCGTTCAGTCATGTTGGGGATGCCGTAGATTGCAGAGATCCACTGCATGCCCACACAGACACCGGCGTAGAGCTGCAATTCCGTGACGTAGCCCACGGTAGCCACGAGTGACATGCAGGTCAGCAGCTCGCGTAAGTCTTGCGCGAAGCCCATGGTTGGCCGATTGAGGAGGAGAAAGCTGGGGATTGCGACCAGCCAAGGAAATTGGGGAATAATGCTCCGATAAGTCGAAGTTGGCAGCGAGTTGCTGGCAGGGACTCCAAATTACGGTAGGGAAGGTCGTTATGGGAAGATCGGTATAGGACCTTCAATGCAACATGCGCAAGTTGCAGTGACCGTGGAGCACGCGACAGACGAGCATCTGGTCCCCCAAGATTTCATGTAATTTACGCCGTAAATGTTAAGGTCAGAATCTGACTCAGATAACCTTGCGCGCTTGTGAGGTCGGTGGCAACTTTCCGCGAAGCCGCATAAGATTGCAGTAAGACACTGCGCGCAACAGAGTGCCGTTTCCGCACGTTCCAACGATTGCTGCGTCCATTGTCACTGGCTGCCCACGACGCCATGACAGCCATGCTGGCAGCAGCTTTACTGCTGCATAGCGAGCGGAGCGGAGCGGAGGAAGGAAATTGTGTTTTCCACACGAGATTATCTGTGACCGGTATTACCGGTGTAGTACCGGTACGTGTACTCCCCACACGTGGCCTCCACTCCTCACTTCGCATTTGGAGAACAAGAACTACGAACAAGAAAGAAGGGGGTTCATCCTACACCATGTCTTCCAGCGCACCCAACTCGCCATTGTCCGGGGCCACCACGGCCCCGTCGGACAGCGCCTCTACCGTTCCAGCAGCCGACGTCGTCAACGTCACTGGTGGAGAGGAGACGTGGACCAATACATCCGCCCGCAGCACGCACCTCGGACCCTCCGCCGATTCGCACGAGCAAGTGAGCTGCCGCCCGCAACGTTTCCTCTCCAGCGCCGGCCGAGGCCCGCAAGGGAAAGAAAAAGGCGCCCAAGCGCACGACCCCGTCGCCTGCAGCTACTACCAGTCGAGCGAAGAGTGACGACTCCACTGAAGACGGGTCCGACCACGGCCTGGAGGACAAGGCGGCGACTCCTAAGCCTAAGAGGGCGAAGAAGTCAGCAGGGTGTACTGTCCCGATCGTGCGGCTCCCTCCACCAGTTGTACAACCTCCTACACCGGCTGCTCCTGAGATTCGCCCGAGCTCCCGGAAAGACTTCGACCTGTCCACATTTATGGCGTCGTTTGAGCCCGGTCGCGGTGTGGCATTGGCCGAGGGTCCTGCTGACCATCCTTCTCATCAAGAGCCTGACCCAACACCCATCGTACCGCAGCCTGCAGCACCAGTGGACCTGTTGCGCGAGCTTCGTTCCTTACGCGATGAGGTTGCACGCTTGCGGCAGCTCCGCGGTAGCGAAAGTACTCAATGGGGTGGGGCATCCGCAGGCACAATCGTCACGGCTCCGAACTCGAAAGGAGAGCTGCCTCCTTCTGAAGTCTGTTACCTGACCAGCGCAAGCTTCCCAGAAGGCTCAAAGAAGGCGAAGGGTGACTACAATCCTCCGCAAGCCCACATGTTGGCCGCAAGTCGAATGTTCCGTGACTTCGGTACGGAGACAGGTGAGGCTACATCTGCTATGTCTTTTGTTCTGCGGGTTCGGGAGCTGGACTGCGTGAGGTTCCAGGTGACACCCGCCGTCCTGATGGCAGTCTTCAGCGGGCGTTTAGGATCCCGTGGCCTAACAATGATGCACTTCAAGGAGAGCAGCGAAATTGTGTGCCTAGAAGACGGCTCGACGAACGCCAACTTCTCAAGCGACTTTAGTCCTTCATCAACGCTTCCTCCGGCCTCTATTACGTGCTCTTTCTACGAAGATATCCTTGACGCCATCCACGGCTTGAACGCACTGGGCCAGGAGGTCTGGTACGACCACATGCGCAAGCTGACGTCGACGTTGCGGGCGTTTGTGTCGAAGAACAAGCAAGCTGATCCCGCCAACACTCCTGGTCGCGTTCGTTTGACACTGATGTACGCGAACAAGTTCATCGGGACGGCACTGGGGTATCTTTAAGTGGATGATGCGTCGTGGTGGATTGGCTTCTGTGAGGTGCTGCGAGGCATCGACTACCAGTCGCCGCTGTGGGCGATGGCCCTCCTCAGTGTTCTCAGCCAACCAGCAGACAACGACGGGAGAGTTGCCCGTGACTTCGGCGGACGCCAGCGCCGCGACGAAGCTAGAAGACCTGCGATTCCTGACGGCATCCGACGTCTTATCCCGCTTAACCGGCGTGGCCAAGAACCGTGTTTGCTGAATGTGGCAAGTCTCCCGTGTTTTGGAGGCACCCGCGATCGTTGCGGCAACCACAAGCGAGCACACAACTGGCCGGACCGCCTGCCTCCGCGAGTACAGCAGTGGGTCGACGAGACGTACGGGTCGCGCCGCGCGAATCCAGGCGAGCGTCGCTGATGGGGCCGTGAGCAATGCAGCTCGGCATCCTTTCGGTACGAGAACCACCTAATGCAGGATAATAGATCAAGTTCTGCAGAAACAATGGTTGAGAGCAAGTTTAGTGAGGCGTCAACGCAAAAGCCACTTCCTCGGCACGAGAAGCGCGGGGAGGCGGATAGGGCGGTGGGAGAGCAAATACGCGCGGGAGCGAGAAATCAGCGTGTTTGAGGGTCATTTTGCCTATCAAAACCCACCGCAAGTGGCCTCTGAGCCCGGTCCGCAGCCTCCGCTATCCGTTGCGACTGATGGCTTCGTCACAAGCGAGGCGACCCTTACGGATATACATCCCTCTCCGACTATACAGTCTGATCCGTCTAGACAGTCGGTCATAGCCATACAGCACCCTTTGACTATACAGTCATCTGTTGCTATACAGCGTCCTTTGACCATACAGTCACCTATTACTATACAGCACCCAATGACTATACAGTCTGGTCCGACTATACAGTCATCCACAGCTATACAGCACCCTGCGACTATACAGTCTGGGTCGACTAAACAGTCATCCACAGCTATACAGCACCCTGCGACTATACAGTCTGGGTCGACTATACAGTCATCCACAGCTATACAGCCCTCTTCGACTATACAGCCCGGACCGACTACACAGTCACCCACGGTTATGCTGACTCCTCCGACTATGCATTCGCGCACCCACCCGCAGGGTTTGATTGGTATACACTCAGATCGCTCTAGTAGTGGTGTGGAAGTACGTACTAGTACCACCGAGAGACCGGTTGACCGAGAAGGGACTCGCACGATTCGCCCTGTAATATCAAGTCAAAGAGCAAGTGAGACGCATGACAGCGCAAGGATACGTCGAGACCTGCACAAACAAGTTCGGCATGCCGAGCTTACCAAGGTTATGGCCAGTTTTAACATCGAAATGCCCCACCAACACTACCCTGCGATGCACGAAAGCGCAGAAGGCCCGGTTTACCTGCTTAACCAACCATTGCATCACGCTCTATCGGACCTTGCACGCCGGTCGGCGCTCCCGCTACCTGCATTCGTAGAGTTAATTCGAGGCCAAACAGTGGAGGACTATCGCCCAAACAAGAACATCGTTCCGGCGGTCCTAAACAAGTTGTGTGAAGGATACGAGCACTTAAATCAACTTAACAAGATTGCTTGTGAAGGAGTCGAAGTCAAGTTAAGGGCGGCTCCACCCAGACAAGTGGTTCGGCCACCAAATCATGGCTCTGCTCATAAACGCGTCAACATTTTGCGCAAGAATATCCGGAAAGAGCAAGACGCCTGGAGATGCCTGGTTCTCGACATTGATCTGCTTGAGCAGTGGCCCGAAGTAATTATAAGTCCGTTCTGCGTCGTCGACAAGGTAAGCGAAGATGCCAACACGTCGGGTCGCACAATCCACGACTTATCCTACCCGGATGGTACTTCGATCAACGACTGCACGGACCAAAACAGCATAACTAAGCCGGACTACGCCCACTGCGATACCGTAGCGCGAGAAATTTTGAAAACGAAAGAATATTTTCCAAGTGCGGTTGTCCTTGTAATGACAGGGGACGTGGCATCTGCCTTCCGCCACATCAGCATCCACAGCAACAGTGTGTACTTGTTTGCCGGTCTTATCAAAGAAGAAAACGCATTGATCGTCGAGTTATCAGCACCTTTCGGATGGACGGGGTTTCCCGGCTTTTACGAGATATTTGGCGGAGCGATTTCTCATGTTCACGGCGGTCATTCGAATGCAGTTTTCCTGGTGGCTTCTTCAACTATTACTGGGTAGACGATCACATTAACGTGGCTGCCGACATTGACACCACATGCGTTGACATGGATCGTTCTCTCCGTTTTGCCATGGTCGCCGCCCTGGGTGTCGATGCTATCAACACTGAGAAGTTTACTCCCTGGAAGACGCGCCAGCGCGTTCTAGGACTCGAGTTCGATACAATCGAAGAAATTGTTGCCATGCCTTCAGCCAAAATCGACAAAGCCCGCAAAATCGTAGCTTTCGCCTACGTCGCAAGTTCACTCACCCGCAAGGGGTACCGGTCCCTGCTCGGAAGTCTACGCCATGTGGCAACATGTATTCGGGCCGCTAGACCATTTTTGCAGCGCCTACGGGTCCGCGAGGCTCGGCTCAACCGCTTCCAGAGCGTCCCCGTGACTGCTACAATGAAGGATGACCTACTGTGGTGGTGGATGATTTTGCACACCCCTCACCTGAACGGCGTTTCGCTAGCGTATTTTAACGCACTTCCGCCTCCGGACATTGTGGTTGAAACGGATGCTTCAGATTTCGGTCTCTGCGCACTTGACATATCCGCGAAGGGGGCACTGACGTACCAATTCACTCCGTCCGAGCGTGATCTCATCGCGGCGTTCAACAACGGAGAGACCAACGGTTTTGACATTAACTTCCGCGAGCTTCTCTCGTGTGCTTTCGCTGTGCATACATGGGCCGCAAGGTGGGCTTCAAACGCTCGCATTACTGGGAGGCCGCGGCACGTACACTTCCGCATCGACAACACATCTGCCGTCGCGTGGCAGAACAAATTGTCATCTCGCAATCCCAGGGCTCAAGTTCTTATTCGCCTGCTAAGTTGGTGGGAATCAACTTTTCGAGTCCGGTTCTCTGCGTCCCACATACCCGGCGCATACAACGTCCGAGCAGATGCTGGCTCCCGACTTACCCCTAACGCGTCGATTGTAATGGGCCCCTCCATTACATAAGTAGGTAGATTTCTTTACAAAAGTAGGTGCATCAGCACACGACTAGCGTGTGCTGAAATGCTGTCATGCCATTGGCTGATATATGGGGAGCCAGACCCATTATTAGCCAATTGGACTATGACGTGTATTTGAGTGGCCAGGGCTGTGGCCTTGGTCCTAAAATAAAGTCAGAGTTGATTTTTCCTTAAACCTAAGACTCAGTCGTCCTATTGCGAGCTTCCTCA